GGTTACATAAGTACAACAGCTTCTCTTGGTAATGTTGACAAAGTCAATTTTACATAGTTACAACAACTTGTCTTGGTAATCTTGACAAAGTCAAGATTAGTTGTAATAGATTGTGTTTGATAGTTTATTAAAAAATGCCCTTAACTCTTTGAACATAGGTTCTAGAAGGAATATAAAGTTATGGAGTGCGTATACTATGTTCTTGCTCCTCGAGCAAAAGAAACTTTAGAATACTTTTTTGATCCAAAATTTCCGGAACCACCTACAAATCGCTAAATCATTATATTAAAAAAAAAAAAAAAAAAAATGAATTATGAGATTTCTAACCCTTAGATCTTACCCTTTAAAAATTGGACGGTTTGTAATCAATCTTTAAGGCATTTTTTTTTCAAGACCATACTAAATGCAATTTGGAAAAAAATTTATTGAGTAGAGCACATGGGATTACATCCCTAAAATTTAGGGTTCTAAAAATTCTCGTATGTTGAAATTTGCCAAAGGGAGTTAATGGATACTATTCTCCATCATAAACACGAAATATTTTGGCAAAGCCTGCATGGCGAGTAACCAAAATGACGCATCATGTCTATTGGAAGACTAGAAAGTTATTTGTTCGACAATGTGGAATATGATGTCCTACCCTAGATGAAATATGGTGGAATCATAGGTAGATTCAATTATTGAATAGGGGACGGGGGGAAATGGCGGAGTAGTTATTGTTTAGTGTTCGAATTAATTTTATAATCTAAAGTGTATTTTAATTTTATCTTTTTATCTATATATTGAATTAAGTTCAAGTTTTACTGGTCTTATCTCTCACCATCACAAATTCAAAAAAATATTTACAAATTAAATTAAAAGAATAAAATCATTAAAATACCCCTAAATAATGTAACGGTATTTTGGTTATTTATGCTGGGTGAGTGTGGCCATTAAAGGCCTTATGAATGCTTGTAATAAAATATTTTATTATAATGGAATATTAACTCAGTGGGAGTGTGGTTTTTTGTAGACTATACTAAGCAAATAGCATTTGTTGATACCAAACTGAGCTTTACGAACTAGGCCAATCGGTTGAGAAAAACCTATATTACCTAGACATAGAAAACTATCCAACAAGGGTTCTAATAGGTCATTCCTTGATGAGTTCAGAGTATATCCGGACGAGTGAGCCGAAAGACCGTGTGACCTTTGTGTGTGATAGTGGCTTTTAAAGATGGGCCAAAACCTCATGCATATATGATAGTCGTTTTGGGAAAGTAAACCACCTTTTAGGATGAAGGTTATGCATGTGTGAGAGATTTCCCTATACGCTAAAGGAGTTGTGGTTGCATCAGGTCTAGGTGACATTATTTAGGGGAGAACCTGACCTCCACAAGCTGAGATTATGACCCCTTGACTCATCGGCCAGACTTTAATGACCACTAATGAGCCCCTGCATGGACTGTAAGTCATAAAAAACACTGAGTTGGTTTGATAAAACAAGTATGAAAGTGGAGTGCCCGAGTGTTTATTGATTTAATTCCTATACTATATGGATCTTTTTCCCATCTAATGAATTTAATTATGTGTGTTATATGATATATATATATATATATATATATATATATATATATATATATATAGTATTAGTTATTATTATTTAGTTTATTTTAGTTTAGTTTAGTTATTATTTATTTAATTAATTAATTAATTAATAAATAAGTATAGTATTATTATTTATTATTA